AATAATGCTGCAATAAACACAAGAGTGCACATATCTCTTTGAGATCCTGTTTACACTTCCTTTGGATATATACCCAGAAGTGAGATTGCTGGATGGTAGGTAGTTCTATTTTTAATTTTTTGAGAAACCTCCATAGTGTTTTCTGCAGTGGCTTCACCGACCTACAATCCCACCAACAGTGTACAAGGTTCCCTTTTTTCCACATCATTGCCAATATTTGTTATCTCTAGTCTTCTTGAAGACAGCCGTTCTGACAGGTTCGTGAAGAGGCTCATTGTGGTTTTAATTTGTGTTTTCCTGACGATTAGTGATGTTGAGCACTTTTCATTTACCTGTTGGCCATTTAGATATTTTCTTTAGAAAAATGTTTATTCTAAGTTTCTAAATGTTTACTCCAAGTTTCTATGCCCATTTTTGAATCAGATTGTTTTTTGTTATTGAGTATGAGTTCTTTGTATATTTTGGATATTAACCTCCTATATGACATATGGTTTGCAGATATTTTCTCCCATTCAGAAAGTCACCTTTTCACTTTGTTAATTGTTTTTATTTTATTTTATTTTTTTCTGTGAAGACCTTTTTAGTTTAATATAGTCCCACTTAAAGCAGTGTTTGTCTATTCTCTCAATTATGTTTCTGTTTCTGCATGCCTCTCTCTCTACAAAAATGCATTATATTAAATATATTTTGCTGTTTGAGACATTATTTTAAACTGAAAATTTTATTTTGAACTTTTTTTTTTGGTTAATCTTTCATGATCTCTTTAATGACTGAATGAATATCATAGATAATGATACTGTTAATATTTCTCTTGCCTGAAATGCTCTTCTGCCTGGCTTTTGTGTAGTTATTTCCTTTTGTGTTATTAATGTTTCATCAAATGTCAACATGCAGACTTAGACTATCCAATCTAAAGCAGTCATCTTGCCATTCTCTATGTCATCACCCTTTAAATTATCTGTACACCCTGCCATCATTCCCTGATGACTTCCATCCCTCTCCTTCCTTCCTTCCTCCCTTCCTCCCTTCCTTCCTTCCTTCTCTCCTTTCATTCTTTCCTTTTTTCTTTTTATTTCTCCTTTCCCTCAACTCAAATATAAGGTCCTTTCTTCTTTCCAGAACAGCCTACTATAATTTGCTTTCACATTCATTTGTCACCTTAGTTTTCTGTTGCTTCTTTGGTGTTTGGTCCCTGGAGATTTCCCTTACTTTCTCACATTTTTTTTTCTTTCTCACAAATTTAGGTTGTGTTTTTAAAAAGATATTAGTTATAAGCAGATTTTTTTAAGAGAGGGAGGGTGGGGGGAAGGGTAGAAGGAAAGGGAGAGAGAGAATCTTAAGCAGGCTTCAAGCCCAGTGCGGAGCCCTATGCGGGGTTCACTCTTAGGACCCTGAGGTCGTGACCTGAGCTGAAATCAAGAGTCAGGTGCTTAACTGACTGAGCCACGCCTAATAATGAGAATTTTTAGATATTTTATATCAATAAGGATTTTTTTTGGTGGGGGGAGGGCTTTGTGGTCTGTCATATTATCAGAAGTTGAAAATTACCCCAGCATGTTCTCCAAGTGCTATAGAATACCTCTAGACCAATGTCTGTTAGAAGCCAGAAGAAAATACACTTTACTAGATGTTATAGACCTATGTCTTTTTATAATATACCAAGTATTCTTTGTAAAACTCTTTTTCATTTTTACATTATTGCCTAAGATAGAGTTAGTTTCCCATGTTTCCCTACAGATTGTATTCTAAAAGTTAAATAGAAGTTATGAAAATGTACATACACTTCAGAAATTGCTGGTAGGTTGTAATAGATTAAATTTCCCCGTAAGTCATTAAATGAAATGTATTTAATATAGGCAAGACATGGGCTTCTTTTTAAGACCTGAATATTTAATGTTTCTTTATAACATTACTAAAGAATAACAAGTTTTAATTGAGAAAACGGTTGTGGAATTAGGTGATGGGAAGTGTATTAAGCAATTTTTATTTTAGTGATGAATAATTTAATATCTGGCTAGTTTATCTTGGACAAGCAATTTGGCCTCTTTGGATGTTAGTTCTTTCGTTTGGAAAGTGATGAAGATAAACAAGATATTTGCCAACATAATTTACAAATCAAAGGACAATGTTGTCTGCAATCAAATATATTCAAAACATTATGGTTTTATAATGACTTAGTTCTGATTGCACATTTTCTATTACATAACATTTTTGTACCCTTGAAATGTGTTTTAACTATTAGTCATTAGTATTAGTTTCTGTGAGATTCTACAGATTTCTTTATCTCGCAGTTTTCTTGATTAAACAATGCCTTAAAAATATTTTTGGAGAAACCTTGTTTTCATGAGAACAGAGAAAAATAAGAATAAAATGTAAATTTCTAAACTTTCAATTTTGCCTAAACTTCTAAGAGACATCTTGCAGAAAAGAGGTATTTATCACTCCCCAGGACTTATTTCCAAAATGACTGGAGAATACACTGATATATTAGAAAAAAGTAAGCAACAAAGCTCTCTATCTAAAATTCAGGACTCCAGAAATTTTACATACATAGTTCAAAATAAACATGTTTTTGGCTATTCATTAAGGACAAATAAAATCTAGAAGAAAGTTTTGATAAATCAGGTTTAGTAGAAAGTTAACATTTCTATTTTTATTTTTTTTAACTGATTTGAGAGATTGAAACACATGAATGTTCTCTGTCAATTCTTCGGCCAGTGTGTTCCTGGTTTGCCACCAGAAAAATTAGGTGGAAGTAGTAGGGACTAGAGGAGGGAAGCTTAGTCTTTCCCAACTATATTCTCCATCAGGTCCTCCAAAGACAATCCAAGAAATCATTTCGTCTAAACAAATCAGTATACTTTTCATATAAATGCAGTTTCAAAACAATTTCCAGGCCTATCCTACCTTCCCTTCCTCTTTCCAACCAAGTTCTACCCCTAAATCACTATTGTAAGGAAATCTGGGAGCCTGGTATTGATTTTAAGATTTTTAAGTCAATCTCAAAAGTTAAATAACCTTATCAGTTCATAGGATAAATATGTATATAGGAATACTATTAAGCTGTTAATTTTCTTACGGTGAAAAAGGTCAGTGGGCACAAATAGGAACAAAAAAGAATGAAATATATGTAGGTCAAAAGGTATAATGAATGAGCTTATTGATAGTAGTGTGTGTGTGTGTGTGTGTTTACTTATTTCTAATGTGAATTAAAAAACCCTAATGCTTATCTATTAAAGTGTCAAGTATGCCAGAATTGTTCTTCAGTATATAAGAAAGGTATGTATTACTTCTATGATATTTTTATTTTCCTAACTCACTGTTTTACATTCACCCTTTTGATTATGTTAGGGTGCTGGCTATAATTACAATTAGAACAGTTATAAATAATGCCAATAGCCCTTGGAAAATCAGTCATTAAATCTTTATGCAGAGCCATGCTATTAAATTTTATAAATTTAAAAATACAGAAATATCTCTGTAAGCTACGATAGTGTCTCTGTGGAAATCAGTAGGCTTAGTGAGAAATTAGCTGATCTGGTGAGAAGCCTTTGAAGAAACTATTGCTCCAAGTGACCTTTCGCTGAACTTACAACGTCCCTCTCATGATTTACTCACATTTGAACATTGACGTTTTGGTCTCTGAAGAGGACATAAAGAAGATTTTTCAATTATTATGTTTTCTGTCTCTTTTCAATCAATCAGTTAACAAATATTTGTTCCCTCACTAATGGTGTGCAAAGCATTTGGTTGGGTGCTTAGGGAGTACAAAGTAGTAAAAGGCTGGAGTTTAGCAAAATTTTAATGCAGTTGGAGGGCCATGGTGTCTCTAAACTGAGATGATGAATAATACTAAAGAGAAATTATGCTGGATGGGCTGTGATTGATGACCCTATCACTGGTGCAAGTTCAAATGAGTTTCTTTCTCTTGGAGGTATTGGGCAGGCTTCTTAGACATGAAGGAATTTGGACGGAACTTGAAGACTGGGAAGAAAGCTTTACCGTCTTAGATGCAAGCCACCAGCTCTGTAGCAGATGGAATTGACTGGGGACTTATTAAGATGATACAAATTTATCCTCTCGGGAAATGAGAATCTATCATTTTCACTTCCTAGGTCTTATAATCTGTGCTAATAATAATAGTAGTAGCAGTAGTAACAATAATAACAGTGAGAAAACCAATGATGTGCTTTTGCTGGAGAATTTACCATGTGCTAGACACAGAGGTGAGCAGTGTGTACATAATCTTAATGGAGCCACACATCAGATTAGTAGGAAGAGAAGAATGACTAAAGCAATAAGGATTAAAACATGGACTTTGGTGTCAAATAGACCTAAGTTTTACTCATAACTCTTCCACTTATTGCCTGTATGACTTTGGGAAAGTTACTTAGTCGTCTAATTTTCTGTTTCCTCACCTCTAAAACAAGAATAATATTAACATCTACCTCATGGTATTAATTTTAAGTGAGATAATGCATGTAAAAGCAATTAGCTCAGTGCCAAGCCCAATGTACTCCATGTTAGCTATTGATTTTATAAATAAGCATATGAGGTAAGAATTATTATCTCCTTAATAAGGATGAGGAAACTAGGAGAGAAATAAACTGCCCAGGATCATACAACCAGTAAGGGAAAAATCAGATTTGAAATTCAGGGTTTTCTGATTCTAGAACTTGTTCTCTCAAATGCTACATTATCCTGTGTCCATTTCTTTTCATTTATTTATTTATTTTTAAATATATCTGTATCTTTATATTGAGGAGAGGGAGTAGAAAAGAAACTCCTATACTGGGCCCTACTCAGTGGCAGCTTCTTGTTCCATAGGGTTAAGGAAGACTTTGAGGAAATAAAAGTTGTTTGGAAAAATCCAGGTGTAGTTGCTTTGTATGTTGTGATGGGTAGAGGGATGATGTGAAGTGTGAAGGCCCCTCATACCCTCCATCTTGCCTTAGACTGTGTCCTGGAACCCTGGGTTGGAGAAAGCGCCACTTTCATTACTATTTCTTGGGATTGTTGACGGTCACATAGTGATAGAGAACGACAAGCAGAAAGAGCAACATGCCCAACGTGTTGGCAAAGATGGCGAACTGTACGTCTGTGATCATCCAGATCAACTGGGCTCCCCGCGATGCGGTCTGCGTACTAGCTGGAGGTAGGAGTCCCCTCTTTTCATTTATTTAATAACCAATTTTTTTGTGTGTGTTGATTGTGTGCCTTGTTCAGGGCTTCGAGCTAGAAATGCAAGAGTAAGAAAAGAAAAATTCTCTGTTCTGATGGAGGCTACAAATGAAAGGTTAAGTCATGAATAGTTATTTAATTAAAAACTGAGCTAAGCACTAGGATGGAAATACAATACCATAAGAGATAAAAAAAACAAAAACAAAAACAAACCACCACCAACAACAACTTCACTTAGATTGTGAGATTTAAAAATATTTCCCTGGGAAAGGATGATCTGGGAAAGGGTAAGACTACATACGAGGAAAAGAGCCAGATGATACAGGGCTTAAAGGAAATATTAAGGACCTTAGTCTTTTTCCTAAGGACAATTCAAAGTCATTGAGAAGTTTTAAGCAGAAAGTTACATGATCAAATTTGTTAATAAAACAATTACTGCCTAGTTTGGAGAATAGTGGGAGGAGACCTAATATAGAAAAAGAAAAGCAGTCATTGGGCTAAATAATAATAATAATAATAATAATAATAATAATAATTTATATATTCGAATTTATTATAAATATTGTCCATGAATAAGAAGAGAGTAGCTTGGATATGGCTGATTGAAAAGGAGATGGTGGTAAGAGCAGAGGTTTGAAATACATTTGAATGATCAATTTAAAGGATTTAATGATCAATTAAGTATGGGAGGATGAGAAAAGGGAGGTAATAAGAATGACTTGTAGGGTGCTCGCTTCGGCAGCACATATACTAAAATTGGAATGATACAGAGAAGATTAGCATGGCCCCTGCGCAAGGATGACACGCAAATTCGTGAAGCGTTCCATATTTTTTACCTCTGAAACAAATAATGCAATATATGTTAAGAAAAAAAAAAAGAAGAAGAAGAAGGTAGCAGGAGGGGAAGAATGAAGCAGGGGAAATTGGAGGGGGAGACAACCATGAGAGACGATGGACTCTGAAAAACAAACTGAGGGTTCTAGAGGGGAGGGGGGTGGGAAGATGGGTTAGCCTCGTGATGGGTATTAAAGAGGGCACGTTCTGCATGGAGCACTGGGTGTTGTGCACAAACAATGAATCATGGAACACTTCATCTAAAACTAATGATGTAATGTATGGGGATTAACATAAGAATAAAAAAAATAAATCTAAGAATAAAGTGAAATACATAAACATAAAAAAAAAAGAATGACTTGTAGGCTTCTGGTTTATACCTCTGGAAGATAATGATGCTGTACTCTACAGTGGGAGAGTGTCAAGGTTTTGAAGGAACATAATGTGCTCAATCACAGATATGAAAAGTTTAAAATGTTTTTGACATCCAAGTAAAGATGCTGAGTAGGCAGTTGGATGTATGATATGGCCCAGAGGAAAGGTCTAGCTGGAACTACAAAGATGGAAACATGGAAGTCATCAGCATAGAGATGATTATTAAGGAGGTGGATCTAATTTTTTAAAGCAAAGAGAAGGTATCTGGGCCTTGAGAAATTATAACATTGAAATAGTGAGGATTAGAAAAATGGACATAAATCTGATTAAAAAGAAAACAGAAATACAGTTAGAAAACCAAGAGATGGTGATATTATATTGGCCAAGAAGAGAAAAAGAAAATATCAGAGACAATAGAAATACTGTGGAAACATCAGATATGATGAGGATAGAAAAATATCCATTGAATTCTGTGGCATGAGGGTCAATGGTAGTATCAGTGAGTTTTCACAATAGAAAAGAAAGAGAAAGCTGGTCTGGACTGGATTCAGGAGTGATGAGCTGAAGTAGAGATGAAACGATGAACAATTTTTCTATAAGAGAAGTATGAGATAAGGTGGAGGCAGCTTTGGAGTTGAAGGATGACTTTGTGTAATTTTATACTAGAAAAAAGGATCCGGTTGAGAGGAACTGGTTTTATAAATAGGAATTAGAAACAATAATTAATAATACAAGCATTCTCAGAATAGAAAAGTGACTAGATCTCAAAGCACAGATTAAAGGCTGTGTTTAAAAGAGAAGTGTCATCTCTTCTAATCTAACAGGAAGGAAAAGATGTTACCCTGAATGAATAGGTTTGTAAGTTTTGTGTTTTTTAAGAGCAAACTGAGGGAGTTCCTGTTGGATGGTTTTGATTTTCTCTATTCACTATGTTTCTCTGAAAATCAGCTTGTTTGCCTTTTAGGACTAACAGCAAAGTTACTTTTTTTGGTTACTGTATGCTCTAAAGAACTACAGCTACTATCTGTGGTATTTGAACTATTTTAATGATTGAACAATTTACTTATACAAAGTTAGACTGAAGCCTTAGGGGTAAAGGTTGTATGCTAAAATCAATAATAAAGGCCAGCTCTAGGTCTAGTTTAATGGAAAGGATCAATACTTTGTAAAAGAGCTTTTGAAAGGAGAATTTTTATACTGGCAAAGAGCTTGTTTTTAGCAAAAAAATAATGATAACTATTATTTTTAGTTTTTTAAATTAAATGCTATATGTGTATATACAAAATATATATGTGTATATATATATATACGTGTGTGTGTATATATATATATATATATATATATATATATATATATATATATATATATATATGAAAGCACACTTTTCCTATTTTTTGGTTCTACCTATTTTCTAAAATCTTATCTTCTACTAGACTCCCCAATCCTTACACATTTATTCCCCATGGCCTGTGTCATAAACATAATTATATGTACTCTTCTATATTTCTCTCCATTATCCTGTTATAGGAAAAATTACAGACATTTCTATTTCATGGGATCATTGTTTATCAGAAATATGTACTTCTTCATGAATTTAGACTTTTCCCCACTTAACTATAACTTATGGAAATCTCTCAAAATCAATTGGAATAGGTCTAATTTATTCTCTTTAGTATTTCAGAGTGAGTTTTGTATCATAAATTATTCAGTTATTCCTCTATTGATGGTGATTTAAATTTTTACTGATTTTTTTTCTTCTTGGTTCCTTTGAACCGATACAGCTAGGATATCCTTGTTATAAAACATTTGATACTAGTGTCATTTTATATGGATATGATGATTCTCAGGAAAGGGGTCTCCAAAGTGTGTATGTAATTTTTGTTTTAATAGATTTTGTCAGGTTGTAAACAAACATGGTTGTGACAATTAACATTTTTTATCAGCAATGCATGAGATTCCTTTAATCCTTGCATCCCCACCAAATCAAGATGAAACTTTCTGAAGGAAATATTAAGAAAGGTTATTATCTTTAAAGTTGATTATTTAAAATACATCAAAGAGTAGAGATTGGTAGAAGGACATTTTGTCTAAGGGAAACTGAGAGATTTCTTTGACTCCTCTCCCAAGTAGAGAGCTGGGGGAGTCCCCTTGTCACCTCAGGTCAAGAGAGTGACATCAGCAGAACTACTATGAGAGAGCATCCAGATAAAATACAGGATACCCCAGCCAAAATTGAATTGCAATTGCAGATGAACAATAAATAGCCTTTTAGGGCTATACTTATACTTACTATGCATGGGATATACTTATACTAAAAATATCTGTTGAGATCTAAAATTCAAATTTAATAGAACATTTGTACTTTCATTTGTTAAATCTGGCAGCCTTAGCCAGAAGAGCTTGATATCCTGAATTAAGGCAAATTGACCAGTGTCTCACACATGCCTGGGAAATCTAGAGTGTAAGAGACGGGCCAGCAGTCTGCTTAGGCTGAGATTAGCTTGCACTCTCATTTGTCTGAGCAAAAGATGGTTTCCCCCATTGCCCAGATGTAGAACATGGGCAAGGAAGCCGCATTCCTAGATGGGAGATCTGGACTCAACAGAGGAGAAGCCAGAAGTAGAGAACTGATTACTAGAAGCAGAAGAGAGAGTAAGCAAGCACAAAATAGAGTGTATTTGTGTGGGTCAAGGCAACTTCAAGTACAAGAGCATAATAAGTGAGATTGCCAAAGAATCCACAAGAGTAGCAAGGAGTGGGCAAGTCAGCACTGAGCCCACCACACCAAAAGAGTGTGAGCCCTCCTTCTGAGAGTAAGTAAGATGTTTCCTGTCCCACTACTTCTGCTCTGACTTGGGCAGGTTCAGAAACCTTAGTTGTCAAAATCAGAGAATGAATGAAGGACAGAAGGAGAGAAGAAAAACTATGCCTCACCCCATTTGTTTACATTCTGCTTTCAGTCATCTCCACAGGACATGTGAAGGAGATGATTCAACTTGAATTCAGGTTCATCATGTTAATTACTATGTGGCATTGGATGTTTTTATTAATGAATTTGAGACGTTTTATGACTTAAAGTTATTGTGTAATTTTTTTAATTACCTAAAGATGAATGGGAAAGCATGGAATCATCCCACTTTTCATACAAAGGCACATTAGATGTGGGAGAGAGATATTTGTTCAACATAAGGTTACATATGTTATTGGTCTTTTACATTTTATTACTTCAAAGAGCTTTAAATATTAATTTTTGGAATAATTTTAAAACTAATAGAGTTTTGGGAGAAGAATGACAAATGAAATGATAAAATCCCAGGGGCTAGGGTGAAAGCCATAACCTTAAATGTGTTCACAACCTTACTTCTGAATTCTAAGGGCTCTATATAATCTTGATTTGTGATTTGTTTCTTTTAATTTTGATGATAGGTCTTTCCAAATTGTCTGTAAACCTCTCAAAGGGCAGCAGGTATCATATCTCTTGTTTCTCTGAATTCCCACCATTAGGCATACTGCCTCCTGCACAGTATGTCGGGTATATATTTTAACTGATTGCTGTTTGCTGCTGGCCCATGAAGTATGAGAAAGTGTAGAGGGTCCAGGTGAATGAAACAGATCATAAGAACCCCATTTATTCAGAAGAAGAGAGGTTGAGCCCTTAGGACCATTGACAATCTTAGGGAAAGAGTGGAGACAGGATATGAGTTCTGGAGGAAGAAGGGGCCTTGGGGGAGGTTTTGCATACAGAAGGCTTTTCAGG